CCCCCCCCCATCTAGTGTTTTGCCATGATAGCCTCTGGGTTGCCTATAGGTTCAGAGTCAAACTTCGTCACAAGGTTAAGCTTCTGGAAATCTATGCAGAAGCAGTTTGATCCGTCCCTCTTCTTCACAATTACTACTGGTGAACAGTAGGCTGAATGATTCCACCTTCTAACATTACCTCGATATTTTGCTTGATCAGGCAGTTGGTAGGGCTTCACCTTGACTGGATCCCTGGTAATGGTCTCGATCTCATATTGCACAAGGTCTGTCTTGCCTGATCTATCTGTGAACATATCTGCTTACCAGTTAGTTATTCACTGATGTTGACATCATTGTATGTCTGATCTCCACCCAAAGGTATTAGGTCTAGTAGGTCTTCATCTTTTATGACAATGTCACTGTCTTTTGGTTCTGCATCTATGATAGCCACACCTGCAATGACCATCTGTGTCTCAATAGCTGCACCCTTTAGGTCTTCTTCCCTCTAAAAGAACCTCTTCAACATATTGGCATGGTAGATCTTGGTCCTCCAGTCCACTTTCACCTTATAGTTCATTTTGTTGACCAATTCCTGCACTTCAAAAGGTCCTTTCCACTGTAGGGTGACTTTGTTGTTGCTTGTGGGTAGCAGAACCAAGACCTTCTGTCCGACCTTGAAGTGCTTTTGACTCCCTTGAACTGCATACAAACTTTCATGTTGGTTTCTGAGGTATAATACATATTTATATGTGTTCCTCACTTCTGACTCTTCTCATATCCACAGTTCTTTCAATATCTGCATCAGACCTCATACCGTTCTTCCGTACAGCAAATCAAAGGGTAAAAATCCTTTACTCACTTGTGGGACTTCTCGGTAAGCAAATAATACTACCAACAGGTACCTGTCCCAGTCGCATAGTCTATTCAAGCACATCTTCTTCAGCATGCTCCTTAAGACTATTGACTCTCTCACAAAGTCCATTACATCTGAAATTGAAGTGTGTAGTAAAGAGCTACCTAATGTTGATGAGTCTGAATACCTCTTGCATCAGTTCCAAGGTAAACTGGGTCCCTCTGTCACTCGAGACTTCTTTTGGAAAGCCTACTCTACAGAACACTTCCAGGAAGGCTTCTTCTACTCTCTCCATCTCTATGCTATGACTTCTGGGTAACATGTCCCATAGTCGACTACTGTCAACACATACTGCTTGCCTTTGTCAGATACAGGTGCTTGTGGTCTGATTAAGCCCACAGCTACTCTGCTGAATAACTCTTCTATGAGAGGCATTTCACCTAGTGGCATCTTGGCTACCTTCCCTTTAGATACTATCCTTTTGCAGATGTCACATGACCTGCAGAATCTGGTCACATATACACTGACCTTCAGCCAATAGAATTTGGTGGTGATTCTGTCTACTGGCTTCTTTGCTCCTAGGTGTCCTCCAACAATGGACTCATGAACCAGCTTCATCACTTGAGTCCAGTATTCTGTTGGTAGTAATATCTGTTTAACTTTCCAAGTAGAACTGCCTTGACAGATCTGGTACAGCACTCCCTTCTAATCCTCTATTCTGTAAGTCCCTTTTCCCTTTGTCTTATGCTTGTCTTTCTCCCATGCACCATCCCAAAATTTCTGCAGTGAAAGGTCTTTCTTCTGTGCTTCCGTCAGTTCCCATAGATCTCCATTCAAGATGTCACATTTCGGTGCAGGGCCTTGATGTCTTGCTTGCTTTTCTTAAGCTCCTATGGTGACTGCAAATGCCTCATCAGTCTACCTTTTTTTCTGGTTCCTCCAAACTTCTACTGCCTGGTATATTGCCAATCAACAAGTCATAGATGTAGTGACAGGGACAAATTCTATACATTGTCTTAAGCCACTGCTAGATATCGTGCTTTGGTATTTGATCAATATTCTGTCTAACTAGCTAAAACATGCCCATATCATGATACTAACCATTCAACTTAAAACTTGTTTACTGTTAGATATTTAGAGTATAATATTTATGGTTAACCTGGTGAAACATTGTAACAATAGATATTGTATTCTGTATATCTGATAATAAACAAATTTCAAGTTTTACGTAACAGGGTACATCCTTTAATTATTTAACCCTTCAACTCACATCAATTATGTTCAAGTTGCTAACAATACCAGACTTGTTTGTCTGAAATAAACAACTCTTCACTAAAGTTTTGAACAGTCATAGCATTATGTGAATTGGAGTCTAGCATTCACAATGGTGATAATCAGCTATATGAGTTGCAACTTGTGTGCGAAATCTGGCAGCTGTAAGCACTAAGCTAGCAGAGACAAGGGGCATTTGACCTAGAAATATATAAATCCTTCAATATATGCTTTATTGACTTAATAGGTGTTATATTATTACAATTCCAACAACTGCAAATTGGTATAATAACATACACAGTTTGGACATGCAATATGAATGGTACCATATTAGTTAGTAAAAAACAACCATAAATGAACAAACTGTCAGAAGTTTTAATTGATATTAGAGAAACTAGTTTCAACACCTTCAAGCATCTTCTTCAGTCTCCCAGGAAGGAAAACTTGACAAGAATGCCTACTTGATCCAGAAACTTCAAATTCCCTTAAAAATACAGAAAGCTGTTTTACTAAAAGTAATTTTTAGAGATTTTGAAATTATGCCAGCTTTTGATTAAGCAACTTTTGAAATTATTGTTTTTATTTTTAGTTATCTATTTTGTACAAAATTCTTATTCATTTCCATGGCCAGAATATCTCAAATGAAGAAAACTGGCATTGTTTGTATTTTCATGTTTAATGTGTTTATGTTAAGAAACTCTAGTGTCAAACTTCTTCCAGTTTTACCTACTGTTACGT